TGATTTGATCCTAATTATTAATCATAATGGGTGTACAATCAATATATAAACCAGTGTATTTTAGACTAGATTCGATTCATCGTTGTCATAGTGTTTGGGCTAATAAATCTTCACTTTTACCAGTCTTGTGTTCTTACTTTCGCATCGTGGGAATTACCAAGGTCCCTCGTTACGAGTATAAATGATCAGTATTTTTCTTTTTTTTTCCGGCACAACACAGTGACTTCATAACCTAAGGCTATATCTTGATTTGGCTACTCCCCAACTTATTTCAACCTACTCCTACACCAGACAATATTGATCATCGAGGTAGACAGTAGTCAGGCATACGTAACATATATCCTAACCATTTCAGTCAATAAACATTCACTATCACATCAATCAATTTTCTCTATTTACCTAGTAACTTATGCTTACTCAGTGATCCCAAAATATACAAGTATATTGAAAGATCACATTTCAAAATCACGAAGCTAACTGCTAGGCAATAAACTTATATGAGAATCAAACACTATTTAATAAGATAAATTACATAGCTGGTGAAAAATAAATTATCATGGCATATATATATATACAATTTATTCAATAAATGATTTATTCAGATAAGTAAATCTTGAGAAAATTAATTTAATCAGTTTCATCTTAATAAAATTAAATAAACATGTTAATTAAAAAAAAATTTTTTTCATTTGTTTCTATTCAAATTTCAATTAACAACAAAATCAAATTACATTGAGGTTAAATAGTAGAAAGAAAAAGTACAAAAAATAAATAAAATAAAATAAATTTTAATGTGAGAAATAGAAAAAGAAACATGATTCCATTTTAAAATCAATAAATAAGTAAACATTTCACACTAAATTAAAAAAGCAGAAAAAAAAACTGTATCATGGAAAGATATAAATTAAGTTAAAAAATTTTCTCCTTTCTATTTATGTTAGTTACCCATCATTATCATGATTAATCTTATCTATTTAAGGTCATATACATACATTACTTTTAATACAATTGTTTACGTAAAATTTGCATTGCAAATTTACAAACTATAATTTTTTTTATAAATTCACTTGATGTTCTTTAATTTTGTAGGGGACGCTAGATCTCCAGAACTCACTTGGAAAAGGAATTAATTTTGTAATTTTATTTAGAAAATTTGAATTCCTTTGTTTTCGCGCCAAAGGCGCTCTTGTCACCTTCATGTCATATTTCCCACTGGGAAATATCTTAAATGCTATTGGTCTGTTGCGTCTTTTAGTATGCTATTTGATAACTCTCCCCAAGGACGGTTTTGCACTATATATACGTTTTGAATTGTGTTTGTTGTTGTCGCTCGTTTCTGGCTGTTTTGCAGAATATACTTTCCATTCCAAGCTTGGACTTCTCCCTCTGGTTAGCGGGGCTGGGACGCACCATAAAGCTAACTTACTGGTTTTTGGTCACTGGGTATTTGTTCTCGTTCGCAGATTAAGTGAACTCGTGATAGTTTAAAATCTAGCAAACTTGTATCTTCCCATTGTTATTTAGGACTGTAATTGATCAGTTTTATATTGGTATATGTGCATCCTATGAGTTTTGAGATGTAAGTACATCCAGCTGACAAGTTCTAAATAAGACAAAACATGCGTCTTGGATTCTATTGCTAGCCACTATCTAGTTTTGCTTATATTTTTTCTTGTTCATAGAAAATCATATTCGTTATAATAAAGTTATTTCAATGTTTGAGAATAATCTTTCTTGATATTTACATCACTTAGAGAATACCATCTAAGAATTATTTAACTTGTCGAAAATTAATTGGTAATTGTTGATGTTAAAATCCATCAAGTAAATAATAATTGGAATTATAGTGGTTGTTCATTATTTTGAATCAGTTTCATTGAATGCTACATATATGGATAGTATCAATGAGTTATGCAAAAGGCAACACTGAGTTTCTAGTACTAATCAATGACTGAATAAAAATGAATGTCGTATAACCTAATCCTTAGGCTCAAAGACAGATATGTATACTCGAGTGAGTCGTAAAACGTTTAAGCAATTCGTACTGTAAAGAGTAAGAAAAATAATTTTTTCAGTTGAAGCTTGCATTCAATGAGATGTACTCAATTATACAAAAATAAAGATCCCTGTAAAATGATAGACAAATTATACCGAAATAACACATTATCTATCAAATAGGTTACATCAAGGTTTTAATTAATTTAAACGTACACAAGCTTGTGTGATGGCAAGCTACTATGATTTTGTTATATCCCGGGGGGAATTAAGAAAGGTAACTTTTCAGAACTATTTATGAATAAATATTATATATATATTCTTAATGTATAACTATTCAGTAGCTGGATCGGATATATCTATGCTCCATTTATTACGAGCTTTATTTTGACCCACAGACTGTTATTATGCGATTTATCGTTCTTGAGTTATGTTCAACCTATTAATTACAGTCTCTCGCATTCACAGCCACTGTCGACTTGATCTTGTACAAATGTTATTTTCCATTTTATGCTACGATGTGGTCTGTTCGGTTTGTATATAAACCCAGTATGTTTGGAATACATGATTCATATCGCGAAGGCTGAGATTGTCGTTCTAGACTTAACAGTCAGGGTTAGGCAGGAAAAAGAACCGATAAGGACTCTAGATAGCTCGTACGGGTTTACGCGTCATTAGTCCAGTCGATAAATCACTGCTCACTAATTGGTGAAATCATTGCGTCAGATATCAATAGAGCACAAGGCCACAAGTTGTAACAGATTTATGACATTTACAGTTCACAATTACAATAACTAAATAAAACGATAAAACTGTATTGTACAAATTACTATGAGTTCGTTATCTATGTAACATGACAAATGAACTCTGAATTTCCCAGATTTACGAACAGAAACTTCTAGAAACAATGAAAATATAACATTTAAATGAGCAGGGAAGATATAATTTAAAATGGACTGAAGTTAACGAATATAAGGAAGAATATTGACATGAAAATACATAACTTGACCATATTGTTTTAAGCTACTGATATTGACTATGATTTATTATAAACTTAAACTTCCATTAAAAACAAATGCCGTATATTAATTTACAATTAAGATCAACTCATTGAAGAATATACATAATTTTATTGAAAAAAGGATCACATTAACTAAGCATTCTCATTAATTTAAGTTGGGATAAAGCGATTTGGGATTACGGAATTTCTATAGTTTATTCTACAATCCTCACAAACACTATTATACCATTATTAACCATGAGCTCTCTGATGGAAGGGCCATTCCAGGAGTTCTGATGAAAAGGCGTAAACACTGGAATTTAACCTTATCTAGTTTTGAGAGTTATCAACAATTTAAGATGACCGGATAAAATCGTGAGTGAATGAAATTCGATATGTTCACCACTAAGAGTTGGTCATTGGCATAAAGGTTAAGCACTCAAATCGAGACCTGAAATTACTGGGTTCGATTCCCTATGTTGTAGATGACACATACAAGGAACAAAATAGCTGTCCGTTGCTACCTGCTTTTCAATATTTGTCTAATTTACGATCAGTTAGTGATTTAAAAGATGGGAATCTGAATTAAGAACAAAATGTCCACTCCTCTGTAACATTCAGTATATTCATCCACTTGATTCTAATTGGTTATGTAAATTACTTCTATATAAATACTTTATTCAAATGAAGATTCACTTATGGAGTTATAAAACAAAGTATTAATGACTAAATGAAGAGAACACTTTTAATTCAAAGGACAAAAAACCAATTAATTGCATGTTTGTGCATATCAGTTGTGGTAAAATTTATTTTTTAACAAATAAAAAATAAGAAGTTCAATAATCCACTTAGGAAAGAAATTTTTCTAACAGTTTGACAATATTAACAAGTAAACTTGAAAATTATTTTACACTCAAACATACCGTTCTTATTCGAAAACAACACTGAAACCATTCAATACAAAAATCGTTATTTCAAACAAAATTTTAGAAATAATTCAAGTGTCAAGTATTAGTTAGTGATCGTCTGTGCTCTGAGTCTAAAGAACACAAAACCCCATCAAAAGTATACATTTGAACAATAAATTATTTCCTCAACAAAGTTGAGTATAAGGATAATTGAAACAAGTTAGGAACTCATTGTAATATTTCAATAATCGTGACCACAAATGTAATATTTGAGTAAATTATTACAATAACTAGATGATTTACAAAATTCGTCAAATGTCTCAAACACAGTGAAACGTTACACAAACTGTAAGTCAAATTCATGAAACAGATTCTAGTAAATTAACATTTAATGTACATATATAAACTATAAAAAACTCTACAAATTAGAGTTAAATTAATTGTCATTAATGATTACATTCTTATCTTCAAAGTAGAGTAAATTAACAAAAAATAAATTAAAGATTACCTAGATGAAGTAGTTTGGTGAGGATCATTTTACTTCTTAAATGATTTTGATCAATGATTAATCTTAATCGGAATACCAGTGAGGATCAGGAAGCACCGAACATCTATTTCGTCCTAGGTCTCTTCAGTAAACCTCATTCAAGACTCCCCCATGGATCAAACCCAGGACATTCATAACCCACTGTAAACCCTTACCTGTTAGAACTACTGACATAACGTCCAGTTGTTCACGTTCACAACTTTATTTAATTCACGATATAGCGTGGTGACTATCCAATTTAACTGAAGACGACTGATTCACTCTAGAATTGTTTGAAACCCACTGGTCCACCGAAGTTTCAGTCAGTCACCTCGAAGTTAATTTGACAGAAACCATTTAACAAAAAAAGTGAGTTGCCACTTTGACTTAGAGTAATTCTGTTGCTTTGGTTCATTATCTTGTTTCTGTCTGATAAGTTTCTTCATTTCTTTCTGTATGAACCAATTTTGTTTGATACGCAGTATACAATAAATTATGTCAACTTTTTTCTAATTTCAGTAGAAATAAATCACAAAAAATAAAGAAAATATTTATTCTTAATTAAACTTACCGAATTATTTTTCTCAGTTGTTTTTTTACTTGTAGAGGAATTAGAATTATCATTCTGTAAAACGTTTAGTGAATTCGATGGTGAATTTTTATTTGATCGCGTTTTATGATGATGATGATGGTGGTGATGATGATGATGATGACTATGATGTCCTCCAGTAGAAAAGTTATTTGCAGTATTCATTAGTGCTTTTTCTTCTAAAATAACATGATGTTTTTCATACAACGGATCAGCATGATGTTTTGGTTGAGTCTGATAAATATTTTTCATCTTATATTTATTAGAATAAGACAACGATATTGATGATTCTCCATCTTCCTTCCTTTCATGTTCAACAACTTCTTCATTTTCATTATGACCATCAGCCCTATTACTATATTTAAATACATTTTCAGAATTGTGCTCAGGACTGGTTTCATGAAATTTTGGCACTGGTGGTATTGCATCATAATTTATTGATTTTGCACCATCATAAATATCAGTTCCTAAGTGTTTACTTGTATATGCAGATGAACCAGTGATCATTCCATTGGTATGATTGTCATTTTTTTCATTAAACTGTTGTTTTAATTGTTGTTTATCTGTTTTCGATCGCAATAAAGCTTGTAATCTTAAACGTAGTTTACGACCAGATAAATGTGATTTTTGTTTTTGACTTGTTTGACTACTTGTTACACTTAATTCATCACTTGTTATTGATCCAACATGACTACTTATTGGAGTTCGTTCACCGGAATTTCCATGTAGTGCTTGTGAATCACAATAGTCTTCAATTAAAATAGCAGGTATTATTGAATAATTATCCAAATTTGAACAATTTACGTTATCATTCATTGATAAATCTAAACTTAGTGATTATTGATGAGTATATAGCTGAAATTGACAAAAGCAAAATACACAGTAAATCATGTCAACAATGAATGAGAATAAAAGTTTTGTTATATGCAAAAATAATAATAATTTTAGTTCGAATTTCACTACTATGAAGCATGTGTTTAGATCGATCACGAGAATTTTAAAAAATATTGATTGAAATTGATTTAGTTAACGTGGTCAATTAGCTACGTGATTCGACATTTTCAGACTTTAAAATTTTTGAAAAACGTTCACAATGCTAATATATTTGCGATAAAACTTATTAACACAGTGATAAACTTAAGTTTTATAACCTAGAAAAACGGATATTTGCAACAAGAAGTTGTGATTTACATGACATAAGAAAGAGAGTAAGGATTATTTATTATTCAACAAAAATAGATCAGAACTATATCTGAATAGACTGAATTTTAAGTGTTTTACTCATAGTGATCAGTAGAGAAATCAGAATAAATGGAACATCGATTAACAAATCCTGAGTGTGTGGTCATGCTGAGGACGAGAAAATGGCCATCCAATGCTTCCAGGTTTTTCATGGTGATCTAAATTAAGTCAACCCATGAATTCAACTATTAAATTACTACAATCTCCACAAACCCCCGTTTTGATATGTATAATATTTAAAATATTATCAAATTAAACTGCTATAACCAACAAATGTATCTAATTTACAGTTACGTTATTACTTCTTCCTAATAATAACTTTATATCTCATGTTAGTCACGAGTTTCATCAAAACTACAAATCTGCTTTCCATGATTTCAAACAAGTTGATTAAGGAAAGGACAGTAACAGCCGTTTAAAATGTAATTTTAAGTATTGGATGACTCGAAATAATAATCTACATGTTCGTTTTCTAAATTTTATTACTACATCTATGACTATGAGTGAAATAACTCCGTGATCAGGACCCGTGATAAATATCAATCAGTATTAAAAATATATTATGGACTTACTACCGACTATTTGCAACTTATTCATCACTAAACTGAGTATATAAGTCATTTGTAACCATATTGAGACTGTGATTGATAGATTTCAATCACCAATGGAAACTAGACAAAGTGATGATGATTAATGCTCGCTAATTCAAAGTGTTTAACATGAATTAATAAGAAATGTGGTATGATTTATAATATTGTCATAAATCAAAAAAATTTAAAGTAAATTATGGCGACGAGAAGATAGCGATTCTTTCTGAACAAAACTTGAGAGTTCTACATGTAGTTCACTGACAGAAATTGATCCTGACTTCATGAAAGATCGCAAAAACTCCCGAAACTCAAAGAATCTTCAAAAGCTAATGTATAAAAATTGGTAATTTTAATGTAAGAGTAGATTTATTATCAATTTTTGCAGATAAACCGAAAGCTTGATATCCCGTTCTTAACGGTATAATGATTATGAAAGATATAGCCAAGCATGCCGAATAGCAAAAAAATTATTTACATCGCCAATCAATTTATGGATTACCATAAACTCACTAAATTGAATGGTCGTACTACATTATCATGGGGAATATTTATATCAGGATGAGGATGATGGGAATTATGCGATCTCTGAGCTGGATGGATTGGTCGTTTAGCTTTCATTGTTCTTCTGAACAAAATCATCAGCATGTGCTTCTTTTCACAAGTAATACATCCACGTCAGAGATCAAAACAATTCCAAAATAACATTGTCAAATTATCCTACTCTTGAAATTGTTTCGAGAATTTTCACATTCTTATTAGTACTTTTAGTGCATAAACGCCTAGATACAAACTTCTCGAAAAGTGTCGTGAATCACAGAAACCTTCAATTCCCAAACTTCCAGCAGAAAACAAAGGATGATAGTTATGAAAAAAGTTTTAGTTTAAAAGTTAATAAGTTCGATAAAAAATAGAGTTTCTTCAGATTTGCATGAAACCTCGAGATGGTATAAGCTCAAGAAAACAAGTCAGAATGAAAATCGGTAAGTATCGAATAAGACCTTGACACATATTCGTTTTCAATAATTCTTTTGACAGGTTCTTTAAACTGCTAATTGCATGAAATATATTCAAATTTTATCAAATTTCTAAACACTTCCCACGAACCGACGAGTACTCAAAGCATCCTTAGGGACATAAAATACCCTATAAAGCAACAGCAAATCATTCTTCTTGAAGGGTTCTAAAGTTAATAAACTATTTCAGTCATCACATTTAAATTTCATTTCTATATCGATATGATCTAGATAAAAATCAAACTACATAGAGCTTATAGTCGAAAAACTTTCTTCTCACTACACTAAACATTATTTTGGTAACTACAATGACCTAAACATAACAAACATCGCATAAAATGTTCAGAAACACTTACACATATTGATCAAAGAGAAAGGATATTTTTCTTCGATTGTTGTCCGATAATACGAACATGATTTTCTTCAGAGTGCTATTACCGTTATACGCTAAACAATATTATAACAGACAATTTTATGATTTACACATACTCAAATAAACAAAATTCTAAATTATTACAACGGAACATGTCACTTTTAAACAAGTTGGATAATCTCCTCGAATTTGTTGAATATGACTAATAAACTGAACAACCATTCGTGAATTCTTACTATTATCAATTGATTCAAATGATAAATATTCACTCAAACTGACAAGTACAAACACTATTTTAGTTAGAATATTTTACATAGTCTAATGTATACTGACACTAATGATTTATGATTTATAAATGAAACGTTCAACTGAATAAAATGGTGTACAATATAAATATATTTCTTAGATATCTAGGAAATAACATCGCCTCTGTTACACCCTAATACATTCATCATATGCGAAAATACATCTCTTAACTGTAACATTTCAACATTCATTTATTTTAGATTAATATCGCTTTATGAATTATAACTTTATTATTCATTCCCATGTGGGACCCTAGAATAAACTTACACTTTCACATCTAATCCTAGTCTTTGATAAACACGCTCATGAGTCATCGACACTGAAATTCTATCAAGGATTATGTTGTTTATTAGGTCAGCCAATATTAATTGACCTTTTCGTGATCAATTCTTTCAGATAACACCAGATCAGATCAGATTATTATTATTTGTATCACATGATCTTTTATGGCAATACAATACAACATACAGTTCGTCGAACATTATTTCAACTATACAATAATCTAGAAAAGTAATATAGCTCCCTTTAAAATCTGCTATCAGATAATGTAATTATCTTTTATATTGCATATTTTGCCAACTACTTTTTTTTACTATACAATAACATAATCACTAGAAATACTTCAAACACCATCCATTTCATTATGACTGAATAAAAACATGACACTGTGTTAAATATTTCGCAATGAACAGCTTTGAGTTCCACAAATCAAAGGAATTCACAATTATTTGTTCGGATATACATAGAAAATTAGTTCGGTAAATGAGTCCGTATCCTGCATAGTTTAGAAATATGTAGCAATGTGAAAATGGGTTTAAAGAAACGCAAAAGATTACATCTTCATCAAAAATGATTGTCAGTGGAATACTGCAAGAAAGTTTGTACATATTATTAAAAAAATAGTGGAAAATGAATCATTCACTAAGTAAATTTATTCAACATCACAGAAAAACGAAACAAAATTTTTAAATTGAGATCATGGACCCATTGATGTTAGACCACCATTGAAAACCCGGGAGCACTGGACGGCCGTTTCGTCCTGTTGTGGGACTCACAGCAGTGCGCATCCACCATCCCGCTCGCGGGATTCGAACCCAGGGCCTTCAGTCTCGCGAGCGAACTCTTAACCTACTGGACCACTGAGCCGGCATCCAATGGTGTTTATGTCTAAGTTCAACCAATTCACGAAGTTGCGCGACCGTCTTTCATTGTACTGAGATAGATACCTGTCTCTGCTCGACACGGATTAGCTCCACTGGTCACGGCTTCCCACTAGAACTCCGAGAATTCCCTCACGAAGCTAGTCACTAGTGAGAACATGATAATTATCAGTATAGGGGTTGTGGAGATTATTAAGTTTTTAATTGAGATCATGAACCGATTGATGTTAGACCACCATTGAAAACCTGGATGGCCCTGAGTTCGAACCCCGCGAACGAGATCGTGGATGCGCACTGCTGAGGAGTCCCACAATAGGCCGAAACGGCCATCCAGTGCTTCCACGTTTTTCATGGTAGTCTAACATCAGTCGGTTCATGATCTCAATTAAAAATTTAATAATTTCCACAACCTCTATACTAATAGTCACAAAATTACCAATAGTTAAAGAGTATAAAAAATAAAGTCATTTAAATCAAAATTATCAATCTACCAGGTCATCATCTACCATCGCCTACCAATGATATACAACACTTAAAGAAAATGATTTATCAATCGTTAACTACTTTTAAAAGAGTAACTAAGTTAATATCGTGAGGTAGAAGTTTGTGCTGATGATGTTGTTCAGAAGGACAATGAAAGCTCAATGACCAAACCATCCAGCTCAAAGAACAAAACTCCATCAAAAAGTAAGAAATAATGTCAACCATTTTACCTTTTTCTTCAGTAAACAACCGCCGACTATTGATGACTAACTCTCATTCAAGTTAAACAAAAACAAACCCCTCAATCAGAATAGCTATGATTTTGAAATCTCAGAAAATTCTGCTATTTTTGAGTTTTGTTAGGTGAACAAAATTTTAAAGTCAATGAAACACTACGAACATAAAATTCCATGGACATAATTTTATCAGCTGACTTATTTCTCAAACTTATATTCGATTAGGAAGTTTTAACTTGCATTTGATGGAGTAAAAGTCAAGATGAATATTTTAAAAGGTCACCTAAAGTATGGCGAACACTTTAAAAACATTCAGCATCTTCATATCTTAAGACTATCGTGTTTTTTGTATGATAATAAGTAAAATACATAGGTGTCCAGTAAACTATTTAAAGTTTTCAAACAGCTTCTAG